GACCTCTCGTCTGCTCCTCTAACAGGATCCACACACTCACACACACACACACTCGCTCTTTCTCAGGGCATCTCTCTCACGCTGCGGCTGGAATTAAGCTCTCCGTGAGGCTTCAGAACATTATTCACCTCAAATGATTCCTCAGAAAATACAGATGAAACATAAACATCTGTGAGAGTGACTGATTCTGGAGTGACACACACACACACACACACACACACACACACACACATGCATTATAAATGGGCAAGAGGCTGTCTAGTTGTTCCTGAGTGTGTGTTCTGATAGAATTGAGCTCAGAAATGCTGTGTAACGCATTTCTTCCTCTTTGTACAAGTGGATGGTTTCATGCAATCTATTTGTTTATAGTTGAAGTCAAAATTATTTCTCCCTCCTGTGATTTTATTTTCTTTTTCAAGTATTTCCCAAATTACGTTTGACAGATTCAGGAAATTTTCACAGTAATTCCTATAATATTTGTTCTTCTGGATAAAGTTTTATTTGTTTTATTTCGGCTAGAGTAAAAGCTCTTCTATACGCCTTCGTGTGCTTTTACCCACGTGGGGCGTGGGCGGGGCTGTGACTTGCGCCGGAATGGCTGCTGGACCAGCTGGCTGCCCGCACTCAACGGACTGTTTTCCATTACCCCTGTTTCCATCCCCTCTGTCTATGTTGTGTCTTGCCGGTGTGCTTATGCTAAGATAGGGCTGTTTTTCTCCCTTTTCTCACTTTGTCCTAATCAAGGGCAAGCTGAGGGGGTGTTTTTTAGCCTAACTGTCCAAATGTATCTTTCTTCGTTTCTAAATGCTACCTCCTAAGATCTGTCTCCCCTGAAAAGTTGTTTGTGATGTTTTGTGTATGGTCTGGGGGGTCCAATTTCGCTATGCGAAAGTGTAGTGACAAATAAAGGCTTGATTGATTGATTGATCATGGCAAAGATAAAATAAATCAGTTATTAGAAATATGTTTTTAAAACTATTAGGCTTAGAAATGTGCTGAAACAATCTTCCCTCTATTAAACAGAAATTGGGGAAAAAAATAAACAGGGGTGCTAATAATTCAGGGGGACTAATAATTCTGACTTCAACTATATGAGCGCAAATGTATTTGCTATTTAAACATCGTGCTGCAAAACGTCAAAACGACTCTTGCGCCAAGCTGAAACTAGTAAACAACTATTGCGTCGCGCCTTGCGCCACATTGCGCCGGGTGTATGATAGGGCCTTAAGTGTCCCTAACTACTATGTACTTACATCAAAATAAAAACACAATGCACTGAAAAATCTCATTCAGAAATGATTCCTTGGATTTACTCTTTTTTTGACGTTAAGTGGCTGTAAACAATTTATTTAAGCTAAATATAAACAAACAAATTAAATAGAATTTGATTAAATTTAATTTGTTTGTTTAAATTCAGCCCAAATAAATTGTTTGCAACAGTTTTGCAGACATCATTTTTTTTTCAGTGTGTTCTTAAAGTCTTGCAGAACATTTCTGGTGATATCGAGGTGAGTATGGATGAGGTTAGGCACAGGTTAAGTGGTATAAATAGATTTAAGGGTGGGTTAAGTTGTAATGGATGGTCAACAGTCTAATTATTAATGTAATTACATAAATTAATTATAGGTGTAGTTACATACAGGTATTAAATTGAGCATAAGTGCAATGAGAAAGCATGTATTAACACAACAAATACACTGAAACTAATTATTAATTTCAATGTAAGAACATAATAGTTAAAGCCACTTAATATTAAATGGGACCCAATATTATTAGCCCCCTAAATCAATACTAGTTTTGGATTGTCTCCAGAACAAACCACTGTTATACAATGACTTGCCTAATTACCCTAACTTTACCATAATTACCCTAGTGAAGCCTTTACATGTCACTTTAAGCTGAATACTAGTGTCTTGAAGAATATCCAGTCTAATATTATTTACTGTCATCATGGCAAAGAGAAAAGAAATCAGTTATTAGAGATGAGTTATTAAATCTATTATGTTTATAAATGTGTTTAATAACTCTTCTCTCTATAAAAATATTAAAGAATAAAACTTTAACAGAAGGGCTAATAATTCTGTCTTCAACTGTACTATATTTATTTATTGATTTATTTTTTCTCTTGAGATGAGCTGGACATGTTGGTGACGGGTCTAAAGTTTCTATAAGTGTGATATCAGAGTGACGAGAAAGAGAAATGGAGACTGTACCATATGACAGGCCACAGGTTACACACACACACTCACACTCACAGGGATTATAGGTGTACGTGATTAAGCCGTCGTCCACTGACCACTGAGAAAGAGAGACAGATGAGAAAGACGGAGGATAGAAGATAGAGACGGATAGATTGAGAGTGTTTGTGAAGTGCAGAGCTGTTGACGCTGAGACACACACAATATGAAATGAAATACTTCATGCAGAGATGAACAGATGTTTCTCTCTCTCAATCCCTCACTTTATCCGCCTCTGCGTCATGAAATTAGTGAGGGGGTGGAAAGCACACACACACACAGCTGACACGGGTCATTTTTCACACACAGACTGAAGATGGTTGTTGATGAGGGGTTTTGATCATCATGATCTGGTCAGAAACTGAAGCTGGTTATGAGGAGCAAGGTTGTTTTAGAAAACGAAAACTAAGGCTAAAACTGTTGGTCAAAAACGATATTTTGCTAACTGAATAAACCTAAAAGCGTGCAATTAATTTTAAAACTAAAGCTAACTGAAAAACGAACTGAAATAGTTAATAAGCAGCACTCGTTTGTCCTGTAAATTTGGTCCTAATTATTTTTTTGTTTAATTAAAATAAACTTTTCTACTCATGTCAACTTGCATCAATTAAATTGACCAAAAAATATTAAGTTAAACTTTGTATAACTTAAAAAAAAAAAAAGTTGAAAAAGATGTGTAATTCTGTATGTGTACAACAAGAATGTGTTTCTGAAACACACAACATAATGCACCCTAAGTATCGTATTTCAAATTTGCAAAAATCTCTACAGCGCCCTGTAGTGGATTTGTCATCAGACACATGCAACAATACGCACCCTAATACGGTATTTAAGAATCACAAAACATAGACAGCACCTTCTAGTGGATTTTTAATCAGAAACGTACAACAAACTACTCTAAATAACGTATTTGTAATTCGCAAAAATGGTGACAGCGCCCTCTTGTGGATTTTTTATAAGAAACATACGACAAAGCATACCCTAAGTAGCATATATCATATTCTCAAAAATCAATCTGAAACGTACAACAACACGTTCCCTAAATAACTTATTTCAGATTTGCAAAAATGTAGAGAGCGCCCTCTAGTGGATTTTCCATTTGAGACGTACAACAAAGCGTACCCTAAACAATATATTTTAGATTTGCAGAAATGTAGACAGCGCCCTCCAGTGGATTTTTAATTAGAAACAAACAACAAAACATACCATAAGTAGCAAATTTCAGATTATTAACATTGTAGATAGCAAGCTTTAGTGGATTTTTTATTAGAAACATACAACAAAGTATACCCTAGTAGTGTATTTCAGATTTGCAAAAGTCTAGATAGCATCCTCTAGTGGATTTTTTATCAGAAACGTACAACAAAACGTACCCTAGTAGCGCATTTCAAATTTGCAAAGATGTAGACAGCGCCTTCTAGTGGATGTTCAATCTGAGACGTACAACAAAACATACCATAAGTAACAAATTTCCTATTATTAGCATTGTAAATAGCACCCTCTAGTGGATTTTCCATCTGAAACGTTCAACAAAACGTACCGTAAAAAACTTATTTCAGATTCGCAAAAATGTCGACAGCGCCCTCTAGTGAATTTTTAATCAGAAAAGTACAACAAATCGTACCCCAAGTAACGAATTTCAGGTTATTAACAATGTAAATAGCGTCCTCTTGTGGACTTTTGATGTGAAATGTACAACAAAACGTACCATAAGTAATGCATTTCACATTCGCAACAATGTAGACAGCCCTCTCTAGTCGATTTTTTTTATCTGAAAAGTACAACAAAATGGACCTTAAGTAACATGTTTTAGATTTGCTAAATGTATACAGTGCCCTCTTGTGGATTTTTTTTTTATCAGAAACGTACAACAGAACACACCCTAAGTAGTGTATTTCAGATTTGTAAAAATGTAGACAGCGCCCTTTAGTGGATTTTTAATCCGAAACGTACAACAAAACGTACCCTAGTAATGCATTTCAGATTCGCTGAAATGTAAACAGCACCCTTTAGTGGATTTTTCATCTGATACATACAACAAAATCTACCCTAAGTAATTGTTACAAATTTAGACAGCACCCTCTAATCGGTTTTTTATCTGAAATGTGCAACAAAACGTACCTGGAGCAATGTATTTTACGTTTCGCAAAAATGTTGCCTGAGCCGTTGTGGAAATACTCCTTGATCAACAGTTTGTGTCAGACAATTTGGCAAAGACAAACATTTGTCTTTGTTTAGAGGATCATGCTGATTCATGCAGGATGAAACCAGCAGCATGGATTAAGACTTGAGTTGACTTTAAAGGAGGCCACTTTTGCAAAAATACAGTGCTGTTTGGGGCCAGATGGGGTTTCAAGTTTCGGAATCAATAAACTTAAATGAATAAAAAAAAATCAAAGGCCTTTAGTTACATCTCTCTCTCACTCCCTCTCTCTCTCTCTCTCTCTCTCTCTCTCTCTCTCTCTCTCTCTCTCTCACACACACACACACACACACACACACATTGAGCTGCACCAGATCTCTTTAGTCTGATCAATACATTTAAACAATGAATTAGTGTGTAGGAGCCAGAGAGACCTGGGGTCCGATTAATAAAATTTGCATAGAAACCTGCCTAAAAGTGAACATACACCAGAATAAAATGTGTATTTGTTTATTTATTAATAATCATGGCTCATATGATGATTTAAAGTGGTTCAATTATGTTAGTATTTAAGTTAAATATGTTTACTTGGATTTAACTTGGATCTGCACAATCTCTGATATTCAATATTTTGATATTCAAATTGACATTTTCCATCATTTGGATGGTTTAATTTATGCTACTTTTTAAAATATGACTTGTATTAGCTGTCTGCAAAGTTTAAAAAATGCAAAAGATCACACAAACTGTTGAAATATAGCATAAAGGGTATTTTAAAGAGGATCTATTATAAACAAAATGCATTTATAAGGGGTTTAAACACAGTTGAGTGGTAATTTAATTTATATTAATTGAATTTAATTGCATTTGTTATGATCAGACTTGATTAAAACACTGTGATTGACATTCTCCCATTGTATGTGTCATCAGAGGGGGAAAGCCCCGCCCACTAGTGACCATCTCTCCCTCATTAGCATAGGACGTTAGTCTTGTTTTTCAATCTGCACCAATGCTGACCACAGGGATTTGTAGCTCCGCCCTCTTCCTAAAAATAGCACAATCTCATTTGCATTTAAAGCAACAGTCACCAAAACAACACAATTAGGATCAAAGCCTAAAGGGGTCAGTTTCAGAGAGTTAGAATTATTAGTGTAGTATTTTGTGCTGAGTCTTCACTACACACACTCAGAGGCTTATTGTACATCTTGTGAAGTGACTTATTGTACATCTTAAAGGGGCAAAATAGGTCCCCTTTAAGATCCATTATTCCTCATTTACAGCAAACACTCAGAGTTTGTGTGTTTGTGTTTTAATTGAGGAGCTTAACGAGCAAATCTTTGATCGTTTGGACGCAGTGCAGTTCAGGAACACAAATAACAAGCGTTTTGTCTCTTTCTCTTCCAGGGGGACACATTTCAGCACATTCAGGACATCGTGTCGTCTCTGCTGAGGACAATAAACCGCACAGTCATCACCATGGGCCGGGAACACACTCTTATTGTGAGTTACACACACCTGATCCTCTCTATTGCCTTTTCTCTTGCTCCCTTTTTGGTCTCACTATCATTATGGCTCATTAAAGGTGATTTAAACACAAAACAAAACGTTTAAAATACACAGTTTTATTGACGTCATCTTAAATATCTCAATTACAAACAGGTGGAGGGGGAGTGCATTGTGGGAAATGGAGTTGTAGACTATTCAGAATATCGGCGTATAAAAATACATTGATTATAATATTTGTTATTCTATATATCTGTCTATATATATATATACTGTATGTTTTCAAGTCTGGACATGAAGACAGGACAGGTAGGAAGACGTGTGTTTAAACCAGAGCATGTGATATTCCTACAACAAGTGTTGGTCTGTTTGAGAAAGTGTGTATTCATTATGAGGAATCGACCATGTTTGGGAACAACGAACATTTACACTTCTTTATGTGAGATTGTGTGGAAGATAGTGGTCTGCATTAATGGGTTGTTCATGTCATAGTAAAATTAACATAATTACTACTGTGCTGTTTTTGTTTGACTCGTATTTTACAAGTTGGAAACTCACAATTTAATAAAACACACACTTGACTCATGTGAAATGAAAAAACGTTGCAGCATCTTTAATTATAGGCAAACAACTATTAGATGAGCTATACCCAAATATTTAATAGTTTTATTATAGCTAATAGGGAATATTGAGGCTAATTTAAGTAGCATACCTGTCAACCCTCCTGTTTTTCCCGGGATTCTCTCGTATTTTACAGTTCTACCCTGCTATCATCCCGTATTTTTCCCATATTTTCAGTCTTTCTCTTAAGGGTGGCAAATAAACATAAAAAAAACGGGCCTCCCTATACGCAACCCATACCGCCGAACCACCAAGGGCCGCCCTTCGCTCTCAAATGCGAGTCTGTTCTGTGCTTTCGCTTTGTTTAGGCATGAAAACACTTTGAAATAAACATAAAAACAGTGCGATTCCCTTCCTTTTCATTACAGGTGCCGTCTCGCCTTCACATGCAGTCCTCGAAACAGTCATATAGCAGTGCGTGACTGCCAGCTGACGCACTCCATAGTGATAAACAAACGCTGTTTTCCTAATTGATTCTGTACACGCACTTCCAATCGGAGCGAACGTCTTGGTTTTGGGTGCGTGTTTAAACAGACGAACACATAATTAATAATAATAGCGTCTAAAGATGTCGATCTTGGTGTTTTTTCTTTTTTCCAAACACAAATAATTTCCTCCTATATGAGCTTAAAAAGTTAGGAAAGCAGTCAAATGCTTTCATTATAATGTTAGATGTGTGCATTTTTAAAGTGACAACAATTGTTTAATGTAAGCAATCTATAAAAATTAAATAAATGGGAGATTTATTTGTTGCTCTTTAATCAGAATGTGTAAGTTACAGTGAAGAAACGGTTAATGAGATTTGATAGCTTGATTTTATTTCTTTATAATAGCTCATTTTAAAAAGCTGAACTGTTTGCTAATGTATTTGCTATTAATGTATACTATTTATTGTTTCTTTTGTAATTAATAATAATAAAACATATATATATATATATATATATATATATATATATATATATATATATATATATATATATATATATATACACATCCCTCTGTAGATGTGTATGTGTACATACAGACCCCTGCATATGTATATGAGCACAGCCGCATACCAGAAGCCATGGAGCTACTCGTGATCAGACACCGCTACCGTATGGAGAGGGTGAGTGCAGTGACACTTTAATTTTTCGGATATTCTGCATGCAACGACAAAATTGTTATCCCCCTATGAATATATATCTTTTATATTTCCCAAATTATGTTAAACAGAAATTGGGGGAACATATACGGGTGGGAGGGGGGTATTAATTATGACTTCAGCTGTATATGGGTATTATTCGTTCTCTATATTAAAACACAAACCAAATATACAGGTTAGTTTTTGCTGTAGTTGTAATTGTTTTAAAACTGAAGAATGAGAGCTTTTGG